TTCTGGTCACTATCTCCCAAAGGATATTGCAGAGCTGGGAAAAGTACAGAGGAGGGCAACCAAAAATTGGAGCACATTCCCTATGAGGAAAGGCTGGAGAGTATCTGGGACTTTTCAGTTTAAAAAGAGACGGGGGGGGGCCCACACACGTGATAGAGGTTTATAAAATTATGCATCGGGTGGAGAGAGTTGACAAAGAGAAAGTTTTCTCCCTCTCCCAAAATACTAGAAATAGAGGGCATACAGTGAAGCTGATGGTCAGTAGGTTCAGGATGGAGAAAAGGAAATACTACTCTACACAGAGAGTGACTGAAACGTGGAATTCGCTGCCACAGGATGTAGTGATGGCCACAGGAATAAACAGCTTTAAAAGAGGATTAGATAGATTTGTGGAGGATAAGTCTACCAGTGGCTACTAGCCATATTGACTAAAGGGAACCTCCATGTTCAGAGGCAGTTAGCCTCTTAATCCCAGAGCCAGGAGGCAACATCAGGGGAAGGCCTTGGCCTCTATACCCTGTTGGTTCTCCAGAGGAACTGGTTGGCCACTGTGTGAGATGGGATGCTGGACTGGATGGACCACTGGTCTGATCCAGCAGAGAATTAGATTCATGGAAGATAAGTCTATCAGTGGCTACTAGCCATGGTGGCTTAGGGGAACCTCCACATTCAGAGGCACTAAACCTCTGAATCCCAGAGCCAGGAGGCAGCATCGGGGGAAGGCCTCGGCCTCTCTGCCCTGTTGCTGGCCCTCCAGAGGAACTGGTTGGTCACTGTGTGAGACAGGATACTGGACTAGATGAACCACTGGTCTGATCCAGCAGGGCTCTTCTTAGGTTCTTATTGAAATGGAGGGAAGGGGGGAAGAGTGCATAATAGCCAGCATTTCACACATGCAATCACCCAGTTCTTATACCAAGGATCAACACCCTGCCACCTGAAGGGCTTTCTCTACTAGTTGTAAGTTGCATTTTGGTTTTGCCGTTAACCTGACCTCTGCTGCTTTTTTTTTTTAAAGTCAAGAGGGTAGGTGTTTGTTCAGGTTAAAAATCCAGCAAAGCAGAATTGCTTAACAATATCAAGAATTCCATGCTCATTGCAGAGTGTGAAATGGCAGTGTGTGCACCCATGTGGTGCATGAGTGGTCATGCACATGGACTGACAGGCATATGCGTTGGATGCTGTCTGAATGGCTTCCATTCCCCAATCACAGAATAAACTAATAGAAGTTCTGAGAAGAGAGATAAACCCTGAAGAAGCACAGCACTTGTGTTTCACAACAACAAGGTCTGAACGTGTTGCGTTATGCACTGTGTTAATGCTGCAATTCTAAGCATGCTGACTGGAAGCCTCATTTTGGGTGCTCAAATGTCGTGTTGGGCCGCAAGAAGGAACAAGTGAACACCAGGGGCAGTGGCTAGATTCAGACAAACCATGTTTATTTACTACATTCAGACTGCTTATGACAACCTTGTGAGGTAGGCTGAAAGATAATAGCACAGACTTCTGGCAATCTTCTTAGCTTCAGATTCTACCGAGGAAAGTTTATTTATTAATTAAAATATTTATACCTCACCTTTCCTTTTGACTCACGCTTGAAGGCTTGGAAGAGGTTTCCTTAGTGTGGAGGATTGTTTCATCCACCTCAGTATGTAAAAAGTGGCTATACATAAGCCAGACTCCACTGAAAAGGCCGAAGTCTCTCGGGAAGAAAGTCAGAAGTCATAGAGCTTCTGTCTCTCATTCTGTTGTTTGTTTACACTTTTCTCTCTCCTTAGCAACTAATTTTACATACTTAACTTTCTCCATCCCTGACCTGAATAGCCCAGGATAGCCCGATCTTGTTAGATCTTGGAAGCTAAGCAGGGTCGGCCCTGGTTAATACTTGGATGGGAGACCAGCAAGGAAATCCAGGGTTGCTATGCAGAGGCAGGCGATGGCAAACCATCTCTGTGCATCTCTCGTCTTGAAAGCCCTATGTGAACTGATGGCAAGAAGAAAAGAAAAATATAATTCTGCCAACCCTTCAGAGTAGATTCAGAAGAAGAAGAGATTGGATTTATACCCCGTCCTTCACTACCCAAGGGAGTCTCAGAGTGGCTTACAAACTCCTTTCCCTTCCCCTCGCCACAACAGACACTCTGTGAGGTAGGTGCTGGGGCTGAGAGAGCTCTTGACAGAAACTGCTCCTTTTCAAGAACAGCTGTGCCAGAATTATGGCTTGCCCAAGGTCATCCAGCCAGGTGTAAGTGGAGGAGTGGGGGAATCAAACCCGGTTCTCTTAGATTAGAGTCTGTGCACTTAACCACTACACCAAACTGGCTCTCAGGTGGATTCAGGTGGATAGTTGTGTTGGTCTGAAGCAACGGAACAAGATTTGAGTCCAGTGGCACCTTTAAGACCAACAAAGTTTAATTGTAGGTATAAGCTTTTGTGTGCATGTATCTGAAGAAGTGTGCATGCACACGAAAGCTTATACCAAGAATTACACTTTGGTGGTCTTAAAGGTGCCTTTAGAATAGTTAGCCACTAAAATAGGATATAACAAATATTGATTAGAGATGCTATTCTGTATCCATTATCTTTGGAGGAAGAAATATGTTTAGGGGCTCAAACAACCTATCCAGAGTTTCTGGTTTGGCGTTGGGGGATGCTGTAGAATAGTATCTGGTTTATATGGGACTACTTTTCACATGAGGAGAAGTATAACTTGTAGCTGAGATTTCCCAAATCCAAACTCACAACACATGAAGCTGCCTTATACTGAGTCAGTTTGTTGGTCCGCCAAAGACACTGTTTGCTCTGACTGGCAACTGCTCTCCAGGGTCTTAGTCTGAGGACTTTCACATCACCTATTACCTAAGCCTTTTATCTGGAGGTGCTGAAAAGTGAATCTGGGACCTCCCGCATACAAACCAGATGCTCTACAACTCAGCCACAGCCTCTTGCTGGTGTTTTAATATATATAAACGAGTGCACATCAGAGAGAAACCATATAAGTGTATGGACTGTAGGAAAAGCTTCAGTCAGAAGGTGCACCTCATCATACACCAGATGACCTATACAGGGGAAAACCCTAGGAATGTGGTGGCTGTGGGGAAAGCTCCACTCGGCTCCCTAACCTTATTACCCACAAGCGGATGCATAAGAGAGAGAAACCATGTAACTGCCTGGAGTGTTGGGAAAGAATACACAAAAGAATACACACAAGAGAGAAACCACTTAAGTGCTCCGAATGTGGGGCGTCCTTCAGCCACAAACACTGCCTCACTATACATAAGAGGATCCACAGGGGGAAATGGTCATTCGATAGCTCAGGTTGAAGCAGATGCAGCATTTTTAAAAGATGGTTTGTTCGTAATGATAAAACCAAAGTCAGCATGTATGTCCAAAGCTTTCATCAATATGTATCTTTCTGTGTAAAACAGAATTGTTGATGAGGGTTTTTTTAAAAAATAAATAAATAAGGAAGTAGGGCTCAGGTTTATCCGAATGCATGCCTGTACCATCGCAAGGGCGGGCACTGACTTCTCTTCTTCCTCACAATCTCTGCTGGAAAACCAATAGGAGTTAGTGGTTGACATGTCTCACTATTACCTGCCCAAACAAGCAGTGATAACAGTCAGGGCAGCAAAAAAACAACAGGGCAGGAGGCATCCCTACCATAATGCATCACCAGATAGGTACAACAAGGGGTCATTTCTTCCAGGAAATCCACAAGCTGGGTATGAATGACACTGAGTTAGATAGACCTTTAGTCTGACCCAGCGGGGCTCATTTGACAATAGCATTCTGCTGGATAGAGACCCTATTTATTTATTTGGATAATTTACATCTCTCTTTCCCAGTTTTATAGACATAGATATATATCTCAGTTGCAATAAACTAATTTTTCAAAAGTCCCACCAATAACTTGTAAATTGATTGAATGAAACACCAAACAAAAATGTTGCCACATCTTAAAACTCAGAGAAAGAGAAAGAATCACAGAAGTATTTTAAATTTTAAAGGGACACCTCAGCATCAGGATTAGTAAAGCAAATCAACAAATGTTCGTGACTCAGTCAACGTCACTAGCTTCTCATTCCCTAAGATACTGAAGGGGTTAACTGCACAGAGCTCTCTTTCTGCCTAGAGAGGACTAGCAGGGGGTGAGAAGGGGAGCTGGACACTTTCCTGCACAGCTGCACGGGAGCTATGAAAAGACCTTCCTGTCCTACCCCGATTTCCTTCCTGGTGAGAAACTTCCCCTTTTTCTTGTATTTCTCCATTCTGGGTGCATTTGAGGGAGATCTTGCCTATCCTGCCAAGAGGTGCTTGCAGGTGAGTTTGAAAGGCAGGAGCCGAATCTATACGGAGAAGGAGGAGGAGGAGGAGGAAGAAAACAGGCTGCAGGGAGGGAGACCCGACAATGAACCGGCAACCAGGGGTGCATCAAAGTCTCCTTTTGCAAGCTCCGGGTCAGGGATGGAGAGGTGTCTCAGACACTGCAGTGGTCCCTGATCACTAACTTTCTTATCTCCACGGGGCCTCTTTTTTTTTTCCTATTGGTGGGATTGCTTTATTCAAATATCTTTTTATATATATATAAAATTTTATTTGGTTTTAACACATTATAGGATAGGAAACGTACAAGGGATGGGATAAGACATAAAGGGAAGTTCCATCAGGTTTATATAAAATATATACAAATTTTCTGTCTTAATTTTTTGTTTCCAAATCTCTTTCTTTTAATATTTACTAAAGCTAGTAACGCTTAATCAGATCGCCTTATTCAAATCTAAGAATCTCTCAGTTTGGTGCCACAAGACCCTGTTAAGGCCTTATTCAAATCTTAACAGAGTCTTGTGGCATCAAACTGAGAGATTGTTAGTGGCAGAAACTTTTTTGAGGACCACACCTCATGCGGTCTGATGAAGGCCCTCCTGACAGGTTCAGCCTCACCACGGTCAAGACTCTTGTGGTGAGAGGTTTATCGAAGCTGAAGTTTCCCTGTGCTTCATCAGATGCCTGGAGGTGGTGGCGTGGGTTGTCGTCCACAACAACTTCTGCCACAAGGAATCTATCGATCTTGAAGGGGCAATGGGGCTCTATGTTGTTTTGGCTACAACAGATTAACAGGGTTTACTTCCCTCCCTTTGATTTGGAGAGAAAGAGCTTTTTCTTCCCTCTCTTTTAATACTTGGAACTCAGGGGTGTCCAAGGGAGTTGAGGAGAGACAAAAGGAAGTCCTTCTTCGGTGAATGAGTAGTTAAATTGTGGTGGGATTCACTGCCAATGGAAGTAGTGATAGCCACAAGCAAAGATGGCTTTGAGAAGGAATTAGCTTCTTGAGGGAAAGGTCCATCGGTGGTTACTAGCCAAAGTTACTAAAGGGAACCTCCATATACAGAGGCACTAAACCTCTGAATGCCAGTGCTAGGGGGTAACTTCAGGGGAAAGCCTTGGCCTCCAAGACTGCTAGGTAGCCACTGTGAATGAAGGGATGCTGGACCAGATGGACCTCTAGTCTGATCCAGCAGGCCACCTTTTGTGTTCTTATTACAATTTTGTAGTGTGAGCTGTTACCGACTGAGGTGCTTCCAGGTCTCTGTAAGTTAAATGTTTGTGTCGGAATGGGATGCTTCGCATCCCTAGCGCTAAGGCACTGTATCATTTATTGTGCTGTTAACGGCTGAGATTTGTTTTGAACAGGTAAAAATACATTGTTTAATTTGTTGTTGTCCTCAGCACGTGTGCCACGGCACAGAATAGCTAGATTGGAGTCCAGTCGCACCTTAGAGACCCACAAGATTTCCAGGGTATACGTTTTCGAGAGTCAAAGCTTCCTTCACCAGATATAAGAACATAAGAACATAAGAGATGCCAATGTTAGATCAGGCCAAAGGCCCATCCAGTCCAACACTCTGTATCACACAGTGGCCAAAGATACCAGTGCCATCAGGAGGTCCACCAGTGGGGCCAGGACATTAGAAGCCCTCCCACTGTTGACCCCCCTCCCCAAGCACCAAGAAGACAGAGCATCACTTGCCCCAGAGCCCCTATCTATACCTTGTGGCTAATAGCCACTGATGGACCTCTGCTCCAGATGCTTATCTAATTCCCTTTTGAAGCCGTTACAAAATGGACCACTGAAGATATCTTGCATATTTTAGTAACAGTGTGGTGCCTTCCATGAAAATAGATTCAGGTGGGTCGCTGTCTTGGTCTGAAGCAACAGAACAAAGTTTGAGTCCAGTGGCACCTCCAAGACCAACAAAGTTTAATTCTGGGCATAAGCTTTCATGTACATGCACACACTTCATGGTATCTGATGAAGTGTGCATACACATGAAAGCTTATACCCAGAAGTAGGAATGGAGATCCCTGAGCCTTTATATCCTAGTCAGAATGTGGGAGGAGTGTTGCAAAGAAAGGAGCCACAATGCAAAGGTGCAATGCAAAATGTAACCAGATGGATTAGAGCAGGGGAGGATCGTGTGAATGCCACCACTACCCTCCACAGCTGTACGGCCAAGATGCAGTAGAAAAGAGCAAGAGTCCAGTAGCACCTTCAAGACTAAAAAAACTTGTGACAGGAGATGAGCTTTTGTGACTTGCTGCTCCCTTCTTCAAATAATCTGAAGAAGTGGGCAGTGACTTATGAAAGCTCATGCCCTGCCACAAATTTTGCTAGTCTTGAAGGTGCTCCTGGACTCTTGCTCTTTTTTCTACTGCTACAGACAGATTAACATGGCTACCCATCTTGATCTATAGCCAAGATGCAGGTTAAATTTCTCTGTGAGAAGTATGTCTTCGCATGTAGCCCTCTATATGTTATCCAGCACTTAGAATGTTTGTGAAGATTCCAGAGCACCAGCTCAGCCCATTGAAGCCAGAGGCTCCATGGTAGCTTCCATAGCTACAAGATACCTTTTCCATGTTTAGAAGTATAGATTATGTTTCCCGCTTGGCAGCACTTTTGAATGCTGAATTTTCTTTCTAATCCAAGGGCTGAAGCTAGGAATACAAATGGAAAAGCAGGATCCAGCAGGACCCGAAGTAGGGGGGAAACTGGAGGGCAGAGGAAGAGTCCAGGGGGAAACCATCCAGGAGTTTCTAACTGGGGCAGCCCTGCAACAAATTAAAGAAGAACCAGATGAGGAGCTAGAGCAATGCTGGGAAACTCAGTGGCAGGAGTTCTTGAAGGCAGTCAAGTCCCCTCATCCAGAATGGAGACACTCACAGTCGCCCCATTCTCTTTCGGATGCAAATTTGAAGTCGATCCAGGCCTCCTACAAGGGAACAGCAGATGCCAGCCAGTGGCCTACAGGAGAAGGGCTGACTCAGACCCTGCCAGACCTCCGAAGCGAAGCACAACAGGCCTGCAGAAGCCTAGACTCATCTCAGACTGTGAAGGTCGAGATTCCGGACGAGGTGGACACCGTCACCCTGGAGATGCGGCGCCAGCGCTTCAGGCAGTTCTCCTACCATGAAGCCGAAGGCCCCCGAGAGATTTGCCGGCAGCTCCAAGAACTCTGCCGTCAGTGGCTGAGTCCTGAGAAGCACACCAAGGAGCAGATCCTGGAGTTGCTGATCCTGGAGCAGTTCTTGACCATCCTTCCCTGGGAAATGCAGAACTGGGTCAGGGAACGTGGCCCCGAGACCTGCGCAGAGGCCGTGGTCCTGGCGGAGGATTTTCTCCTGATGCTACAGGAGCCTGAGAGACAGAACCCAAAGGTACAAATATCTGTATTTTGAGGAACCCCAAGAGGGCTGGAGAATCCCGAGAGCCCTGGTTTTGGGGGGTTGTTGTTGTTGTTGTTGTTCTGCTGCTTTAAAATAGTTTGTCTTTTGTTATTAATGATATTAAGCACTGTTTACGGGGGGTGGCTAATAGATATTTTAAATATAAATAAATAAGAGATAGCTCATCGGTTTGTAGGGCTGTCAACTTCCAGGGGGCACCTAGAGATCTACCGCTATTTCAGGGGTGGCCAAACTTGCTTAACGTAACAGCCACACAGAGTAAACGCCAGATGTTTGAGATTCTGCAAGACGTGAACAAATATCACACACATGTTTTCATTGGAAAATATGCAAATTTTTGCTGTTTATTAACATTAAATTAGACTGGGTGAAAGGGCTGCATGCGGCTTCTGAGCTGCAGTTTGGCCACCCCTGCGCTATTTCAATTCATCTCCAGACGGCCAAGATCAGTTCCCCCTAGGGTTGCCAAACCCCCTGGTTTGGCAGGGGTCCCTGATTCCCCTCTCCCCCGCTGAGCCCAGTTAAAAGAGAAGGCAAAACCGTTGCCACCGCCAGTTCCTTATCGCCGTTTTACAGTGATTTTAAAATGTTGTGATGCCCTCAGTCCACTGTGGGCTTGGGGTGTAGAGCTCTTCCCCCACACACACACCCCCAAGTGTTTGCAAGGGCCAAAACAGCTGTGGACACCCGCACGCACTGTAAAATGGTCACGAGCAATGCTCCCTGTAAGCTGTGGAGTCTTATGAGCAAAACATTCTACGTTGTGAGCTACTGGCATTAAAGTTGTGAGTGAGCAATTTGGCTACTGCATAAATTAATTTGCTCTGGAGGAGTCATCCTTCCTGAGCTAAGACAAAAATGTGTGAGCCGGAGGCTGAAAAACTGTGAGCTAGCTCACACTAACTCAGCTTAGAGGAAACACTGGTCACGAGTCCACCTGTGAAAGGCAAAATACAGAAGCAGCCGCGGCCACCCACCTCCTCTGATCCCAACCACCTTTGAACACTCCCCACCCAGGCTAAAATAGAGCCACCCCCCCAAAAAAAAGCTGCTACCTCATTTGCTACAGTGCTGCTGATCAGGGAATCCATGACTGGCACGTGCTAGCAAGTTAAGGTGTGGAAATAACTGTTGTCACATGCTTCAAAGCGCAGCAGCAGCAGCAACTACTTTGTACAGGTAGCAAAGTGCAAAGAGATAGCCAGGGAGAGAGGTGGGAGGAGGGAAGGAGTGTCTCTTCCTCATTGGCAGAGCCTTGGAGGGAGGTGGGAGGAGGGAAGGAGGACCCCTTCTCTCATTGGCAGAAGACTTGTGACAGCTTCCACACCAATCGCTAGTGCTAATTGGAGGGGCATGACATATGATTGGTGGGGCTCCGCACCTTTGTGCACCACCGTGGCTACGGGCCTGCTACAGGCGCTGTCTCGAATGCCATTGGGGGCGAGGCCAGATATCAGATACTTGGCATGTGGTTTTGTGTGTTCAAAGGACACATTTTACACCCTTATAACAGTGCTTGAACATAGACCGGTGTTATCATAGTGCCATTGGAAAGGTGGAAGTGGAAAGACTGGAGGGTATTTAAGACCACCTTATGAGTTTGTGGCCGAGAAATTTTAGTCGGCAGTGCCAGCCAGGGGTCATTTCGTAGAAAAAGAGCTAGGGGAACTCATTAGCATAACTCATTAGCATATGCCACACTCCCTGACATCACCGGAAGTGTGTCATAAGGCCACACCCCCCGCCCCCAACAGTCCTGGCCGCCGCTGCCGGCCTTGCAGCTCCACTGCCGAGCCCCATGAGGGGCCCGGCGGTGGACCTGCAAGGCCGGCGGGAGTGCAAGGAAGCCCCGCGAAGGCCCTCCCTGGCCCCAGTCATGTGCCCCGCCCCCCACACCTCACCCGGGGGAACTGCGATCCCCCGCGATCCCCCCCGAAATAACCTCTGGTGCCAGCTATGGTTGTCAACCTCCAGGTGGGGCCTGGAGATACCCAAAATCACAACTGATCTCCAGACCGCAGAGATCCCCAGGAGAAAATGGCTGCTTTGGAGGGTGCGCTCTGTGGCATGACACCCCGCTGAGCTCCCTCCCCTCCCCAAACCTTGCTCTCCCCAGGCTCCACCCCCCCCACCAAATCTCTAGGAATTTCCCAAACTGGAGTTGGGAACCCTACTGCCAGCTCGTTCTCCTGACCTCTGTACTAGATTCAACTTGTTTATGTAATAAATAAAAGAACCACTAGCTGCTACGTCAGCCAGTCCACCTGACAATGAACTTTTAAAACATGGGTTTTAATTTATTTATTATTAAGCATGGGGGCTGAGTGCCTTAGTGCTCGGAGACTCAGAGGTCCCTATAGCCCTTCCTTAAAAGGAAATAGCGGGATTAGACACACACACATGCAAACAGAGTTGCTGCGTTTTGCTTCCACTATGTGGACATTTCACCTATCATTTTTTAAAAACCGATCTGCACTTCCTGTTCAAGGCCGTATACAGAGAGTCAACTAGGAAGCCTCTTTCTACAGTTTAATGTCGGGGCTTCTGTGGTCTCTGATGAATTGGCTTCTAGCACATTGCCCCCTCCCCAATTCCTTTAAAAATTGTACAGTGCTAACCTGAATAACCCTGACTACCCAATCTTACCAGAGCCTGGTTGATGAGTAGGGTTGGCCACGGTTAGTGTACTTGGATGAGAGACAATCAAGGAAGACTGGGGGGGCTATGCAGAGGAAGGCAATGGCAAACCACCTCAGTCCGTCTCTTGCCTTGAAAGCCCCACAGGGTCCTGGGGTTGCCATGAGTTAGTTGCAAACAGATGGCACACAATTATGACTAACCTGGGGAACTGCATAATGCCATCTGTCTGAAATATGTGAACACAGTGTGTATGCAGGGACGAGAGAAAAGTGTGCCTGGAAAGTCACTGTATGATGAAAAGCAAATTTACTTTTGTTTGTTTTTTCCATTTCCAGACTCCTGGGTTGTTGGAGGAAGAATTTATTAGTGCCCCCAAATCTGAGGACGATCTCTCAGATGGTGTACAGCTGCCAGTCTCCATGGAAACCAGCTTGCTGGGTAAGGATAAGAGTGCATTAGGACATTTGGGGGATCATTCAGCCAAAGTATGTTTATTTCATGCAGTGGAGTATCTCTTGATAGGGATGCCAGGCTTCCCACTATAACAGGAGGCCTCTGGGCAATTCCCTTTGATGCCCACCAGTGCCTCAAGCACTGCTTGGAGGGATTGGGGGGGGGACACCATAGAGTTTTTGTGAAATGCTAGCGCGCCCCCCTCTGCGTCACTTCCAGTTTAAACTGGAAGTGGCGTTGGCATGCCAGAGCAACACCAGGTTGCATTAATTCTGTCTTTTAGACTCTGAGTCAGTTCAGAAATAATGCAAAATCATGGCTTAATTGAAGTAATTGTGGTTACTGTGATTTTTTGAATACGGGCAAATCCATTAACTAGAGTTAGGATCTGTTGAGTCACAGTCTAAAACAATGGCTTCAAGTTGGCCTATTAGCCACGGTTATTCTTAACTTTAAATTCATGTGATTTACAAATGTGTGAACATGCTGTCTTAATCCTGGCTTGTTCCCTTGTACTACCCTTGCCCCAATGCAGGTCAGGATACCAGTTAGGTCTCAGCTGGGGAGGAGGAAAGAGTAAAGGTGATAAAAACAGTATTTATCAAGACGAACCAGGATTTGTGTGACCATCTGTGAGTTGAATCTTCATTTCATAAATGAACAATGGTTAGGGATGGGCATGAACCGGCTCACAGTCTAAAGTTTGTGACTGTCCTGCTAGTTGGCATCCTCCGAGTAGGCACACAGATGCAGCTCCCAGTGTTCGTAGAGCAATTCCAGAGCAAGGGCAGTTTGTGGTTCATGGCAGGGCAACCAGCACGATCTTTCCAGCAGTTCATGGCAGTTTGTGAACGGATACATTTCCAGAGAGACAGTCTCTGCTCAATCTAAATGTTTACCAAACTTCAAAGCAACAAGGGGGGGGGGGTTGGAACTTGAAAGGCAGGTAGAAGAGCATCCAGGGAGGCTCTTTTTTACTTTGATGTTTCTAGCTTGCACAGGCTCCGTTCTATACACTCCTGAACCTGCGCCTGTCATTTCCCCATCAAGCTCTTTCCTGGGGGCACCTTCTTTCAGGGGCCATAACTCAGACCCCATAAATCCCATCCTCACCAAACTTGGCGGGCAGGTAGAGGAGTGTCAGCTGGAGATCCACTGCAAGTTTCATGTTTCTAGCATGCCAGGGAGGCCACTCTACCATGCCATGAACTTCACGAACTGAACCAGCTCATTCGGGCTCCTAAAAGTTTGTGACTGTGACGACCCCTTTACTGGGGAGGTCTGGTTTTACTTTAAAAGTGTTCCTTTTTATTTCTCTCTACTGGGTATTCCGGCTGCCACCAGGAAATTTAAGGCTTTCCAAACCTTTATAATATAATATCTATCACTGGGTAGGTAAGTCGAGGATTTAAGGCGTTCATGAGGGTCTATGTGTTTCCTGAGGGATTATTTCTTTCAGAACTGGCAGAATTGAATGAAATAGGATTTATTTAAATAAAGCATAAATACGAGGGTAGAACAATGTAAACAATAATGTGAATGATTTGAACAATTGCTTGGTGTCTCTCACAAGCTTCTCCCTTCCTGACAGGGATGTTTCAAGTAACATTGTAACTCATTAATTCAGGGTCATAAATGTTTCTTGTTTCACTGCAGTCTGGCACTCAGACTGTCATTTAACTTTTCTTCTTCTCTGAACAACATCAACAGACAGCTTAACTGTTTTCACACAGAACTCCTCACTTCTTTCATACACACTTAACTGATCTTCTGCTTCTCTCACAGAAATCAGAACTAAAACTGCTTAACTAACTCTCTCTAACTGTCTTCATCAACTGTCATATCTCTAACTGTCTCTCCTGAAAGACCTACCTATCATCCACACAGCATCACTTCCAAAACCCCTCCCCCTCTCTGTCACTCACCAATTACACCACTTGCTTGTTTCAACCACACTAGACTTTCACACAGCAATGCAACCGAACTTTTAAAGTCACACACACACAGTTAAACATGAAATCATTACAGTGCCAGTTCATGATTTGTGAACCAGGCATGCCACGAACCACGAATCGAAGCGAATTGCATTTTCCCAGTTCCCACTGGTTAAAATAAACCCAAGATTTTGTGGTATGTCTGAATGGAGCCACCCTTCACACATATACACACACACTCAGATCTAGCTCTTATTTTAGATCTGAGCAGGGGTCATTTCGTAGAAAAAGAGGTGCAGGAGCTCATTAGCATAACTCATTAGCATAATTTATTTGCATGTGCCACACCCCCTGACGTCACCGGAAGTGTGTCAGAAGGCAACACCCAACGCTCAGGCTCCACTGGACTGTTTTGGATTGCTAGCTATTGGGGGGGGGGAACGTGCAGATCTGTCCTCGCAGAGGAGGGAGAGCTTGTGCTTGAATAAAACTTGGTCTTAAAGGTGCAACTGGACTTCTTTTGGACCGGGGGGGCCCGGGGGGGCTCTGCAGCTTACCTGGCTGCTTCTTGCTCTGACTGAGGGCTGTTGGGAGCAGGGGGTGGGGCTTGTTGCATGTGCCCGCCCCCTGGGCTCTTTACTGCCGGAGCTCCGCTCCTGTGCGCTCCTGCAGGAAATGACCCCTGGATCTGAGTCCAGTAGTACCTTCGATATCAATAAGATTTTGGGGGTATAAGCTTTTGAGAATCAAAGCTCCCTTCATATTAGGATATTAGGAAAAACCTTTTCACGGTCAGAGTGGTTCAAAGGTGGAATCAGCTGCCTAGGGAGGTGGTTGGCACCCCTCCAGTGACTGCTTTCAAGAAGAGGCTGGATGAATATTTGTCAGGGATGCTTTAGGCTGGTCCTGCATCGGGCAGGGGGTTGGACTAGATGGTCTGTATGGCCCCTTCCAACTCTGTGATTCTATGATTCATCAGAATGTTGACTCTCAAAAGCTTAAGCCCCAAAAATCTTGTTGGTCTCTAAGGTACTATTGGACTTGAATCTCGTTTTCTACTGCAGACCAGGGCTATTTTTGGGCAGGAATGGGGCAGGAATGCACAGGAACGGAGTTCCGGCTGGCTCCTGAGTTGGCCACGCCCAGCAGGAACTCATTAGCATAATAGGCCACACCCAACAGAAGAAACTCATTAGGATTGGCTACATTAGGGGTGTGTGGCCTAACATGCAAAGATGTTCCTGCTACAAAAAAAGCCCAGGGTTTTTACAACAAAGTAAACAGAATAAGAAGCAAAAGGTGGGTGTGGCTGGATGACCACACTTCTGGTAACATGGGTGTGTGTGGCCTAATATGCCAATGAGCTGTGCTATCAGGGGTGTGGCCTAATATGCTAATGAGCTTCTGCTGTTGGGTGTGGCCTGTTATGCTAATGAGTTCCTGCTGGGCTTTTTCTACAAACAAAACCCTGCTGCAGACCAGCAAGGCTACCCTCTGAAACATATTAAATGATTCTGTTTATCACAGGAGGCGACGATCAGGTTCTGGAGAATGAAGAGGATACTTTTAGTCTGCAGAGGCCCGAGAGTGAACCGCTGGGTGTCAGTGGAATACCCATGGAAAGAGCCAAGGAGAGATTTTTCTCCGATCCTGAGTTGGAAGAGATTCCCGGAAGTCAGCTGGGACCCGAAAGGCACCAGGAAAGCTATTTGTGGAAGATGGCCGAACAGGCTTTTCTGTGCGAAGACGGGGAGCGCGGCTTCCATGAAAGCCCCTTCCAAGACAGGACTGAAAAATGCCAGAGAAACGGCATGGACGCCGACTTTGGGAAGACCCTCCGTCAGAGCTTGGACGTTCTCAAGACCCAGAAAAAGCGGATGAGGAAATTTAAATGCTCCTATTGTGGGGCGACCTCGAACATCAGAGCGAACATTGTGGTACACGAGCGGATCCACACCGGGGAGAAGCCCTACTCTTGTTTAACCTGCGGCAAGAGCTTCAGTCGGAAATCGACCCTTGTCCGGCACAAGAGGACACACACGGGGGAGAAACCGTACGAATGTTCGTTCTGCGGGAAAAGCTTCAGCATTCGTTGTAATCTCTTGCGGCACGAAAGAGTCCATACGGGCGAGAAACCCTATCATTGTACATACTGTGGCCAGAGCTTCAGTCGCAGGCTTTTGCTTGTTATACATGAGAGGACCCACACGGGAGAGAAAACCATATGAATGCTCGCACATGTGGGGAAGGGGGTTTCACTGTTCTTGTTGTTCTGAGACGTGCAGAAATCTGCTTGAGAGAGAAGAGTAAGAGTCCAGGAGCACCTTAAGGACTAACAAAATCTGTGGCAGGCTAGGAGCTTTCCTGAGTCACTGCTCACTTCTTCAGATATCAGTTATCTGACGTAGTAAGCAGTGACTCACAAAAGCTCATCCCCTGCCACAAATTTTGTTAGTCTTTAAGGTGCTCCTGGACCCTTGCTCTTTTCTACTGCTCCAGACAGACTAACACAGGCACCCATTTTGATCTATCTGCTGGGGAGAAAAATGTCATCTCGTCTAAATCCCATGATTTAGCCTGAGCCCATGGAACTGCATTCACTTGCCTTGGTTCCTTGCCTTCATCCTCCTCTCCTACCTCCATCGTCGTCTTCCCTGTGGTCAGAATTTAGACTATAAGCTCCCTGGGGCAGGGACTAGTCTGTGTTTTCTTTTTGCTCATGTTCCTTTGATAAAACACCTTGTAAATAAAAATAAATGTTCTGTTTCAGAGAACCTTAGCTGGGGAAAATACCTTGTTATACATGGGAATGCAGGAAAGAAACCGTCATTTTGGTCATTTTGCCCTGCAAGGTGACGTACAGAGGGTGGGGATGGGTCCTTTGGGGTGGTCCCCCTCGAAGGGGAGGGTCCGCTGAAGACGGGGGTGTATGAAGTGTGGGGGTCCAAACCTTATTTTGGGTGCAGGGGGCACTTCCTTATTCAAATTTCCTTTGAAATACAGACCTTGGGGAAGCCCTGCGAACAGAAGCCTGTGGCATCGGAACCGGTGTTTGGACCGGGCATCACTATATGTCACCTTGCAGGGCACAGTCCCCAGAGCGTGGGGATGTGTCATTTGGGGTGGTCCAAATATTGTTTTGGGGGGCAGTCTGGCCCCAGTGTCTGCTTGTGTGTGTGTCCTGGGGGCACTGCACTTTGGAGCACCTGGTACCGGAACCATGCTTTGGACCAGCACACAGAATGTGTCCCCTCGAAGGGGAGGGTCCGCTGAAGACGGGGGTGTATGAAGTGTGGGGGTCCAAACCTTATTTTGGGTGCAGGGGGCACTTCTTTATTCAAATCTCCTTTGAAATGCAGGCCTCGGGGAAGCCCTGCGAACAGAAGCCTGTGGCATCAGAACCGGTGTTTGGACCGGGCATCACTATATGTCACCTTGCAGGGTACAGTCCCCAGAGCGTGGGGATGTGTCATTTGGGGTGGTCCAAATATTGTTTTGGGGGGCAGTTTGGCCCCAGTGTCTGCCTGTGTGTGTGTCCTGGGGGCACATTTCAATGTCACAAAAGAACGCACACCGGGGAGAAACCATATCAGTGCTCGGACTGCGGGAAATGTTTTGGTACTCGATCCAAGCTGGCAGAACATAAAAATATTCACACGGGTGAGAAACCCTGCTGTTGTTCCATCTGTGCCAAAATCTTCATTTCAAGCTCTAACCTCATCAGCCACAAAAAGATACACGTGGGAGAGAGACCCTACAAATGCCTTGACTGTGGGAAAAGCTTCAATCATCGGTCCAAGCTGCTGCAGCATAAAAGAAGTCACACCGGAGAGAAACCATACGGATGTTCAGACTGTGGGAAAGGCTTCCATCAGAAATCATGGTTGGTTAAACATGAGGAAACGCTCACAAGGGCTGAAATGATGTCAAAGGAACATGTGAGGAAAACTGAACCCAGAGTTTGAAGGCCTAATGACCAATGTTCCCTCTAAGCTGCGGAGTCTTGTGAGCAAAAATTCTATTTTGTGAGCCACTGGCATTAAAGCAAGCGATCTGGCTACTGCAAAAATTAGTTTGCTCTGGAGCCATCCTTCCTGAGCAAAGACAAAAATGTGTGAGCTAGAGGCTAAAAACAGTGAGCTAGCTCACACCAACTCAGCTTAGAGGGAACACTGCTAATAACAGGAGTGGAAACTTATGAGTTCTAAACAGCTGCAAGGCATTGTGGGGAAGGCAGGGAAGCAGCAGCAAGTGGGAGGACATGCTTAACCCTCAGCTCACTGGCTATTTTTCCTTAGCAAGTTTCTCCTCCCACCATCAAACCAGCGTTCCAGGCAATGTTCCCGCTAAGATGTGGAATCCTGTGAGCAAAAATTCTACTTTCTGAGCTGCTGGCATTCAAGTTGTGAGCGAGCAATTTGGCTACTGCATTAATTCATTCGCTCTGGAGCCATCCTTCCTGAGCCAAGACAAAAATGTGTGAGCCGGAGGCTAAAAAACTGTGAGCTGGCTCACACTAACTCAGCTTAGAGGGAACACTGGTTCCAGGCCCATGCCTGCTACATGTCCACTGGGGGGGCGGGGCGTGTTTCATGGGAAAGCAGCCGGGGAAGGATTAAGCATCTTCCTCAATGCCTCTTTCACCACCATAGGTCTTGCCTTACATTGACTGTTTGGAACTAGCACTGGTCTGCTGCCAGCCGTACAGTTCAGTCCCAAGGATCTAGAGTATGAGCGAAAGCGTCTGTCATGCTTGTTCCAGCAGAAAATTCACGGGAGTGAAAGCACGAGGAAAGTCCTGTTAAAGCTTGATCATCATAAAAGGCTTGGTTGGCGCTCAAAGGAAGGTCTGGTCTACACCCATGTAGCAGATTGAAATGGTATAATCTGTGAGTAAGGTTGCCAACCTCCAGGTGGCACCTAGAGTTCTCCTGGATGACAACAGCCTTCCAGCCTACAAAGACCAATTCCCCCTAGAGAAAACGGCAGCTCTGTAGGGTAGACTCTATGACAGGGCTCCTCAACCCTTTTGAACCTGCAGGCACTTTTGGAATCCTGACACCGCATGGTGGGCACAGCCACAGCATGGCTGCCACAGCATGGCTGCCACAGCATGGCTGCCACAGCATGGCTACCACAACATGGCTGCCACAGAACGGCACTAAAATCAGCAGATCAGAATCTTCTGGTGGTCCCCGGCCTCAAAGATATCTGGCTGGCTTCCACCAGTGCCAGGGCCTTCTCTGCCCTGACCCCAGCCGGGTGGAACTCTCTGCCAAGTGACATCCATGCCCTGTCTGGCCTATTAAAGTTTCACATGGCACGTAAGGCAGAGATGTTCTGCCAGGTCTTTGTTTGAGGACAGCCCCGGTTCTCTACATTTGCCTGGCACCCCCCCCCCCAATGACTGAATGCTAGCACTGCCATCTTGTTTTTAAATGCCTTTAAATGCTTTTAATGTTTTTGAGTTCTTATGGTTTTGACTGATTTATAATGGACTGAATTTAATTTGTTGTAAACTGCCCTGAGCCGCACGCAAGCGGGGAAGGGCAGTCAAGAAATCTAATCAATCAATAAATAAATGATTACTGCAGCATAACTTCAATCACACACTGAAGATCTTTGTGTTGTGGTGGCAGTAGCTGCCAAAGCAACATTTCTAAAAGATCTGCACAGCCAATGAAATTTCCAGCTGCCAGTCAGAAGCCCTGCTGGGCAAAAGCCCCACTTGGCCTTGCCCAGTTTCTAAAAACATTTGGCAGGTGCCAGAAAAGGTATTGGTGGGTGCCAGGCAGGGTGCCCATGGGCACCATATCTGGGGACTCCTGCTCAGTGACCTACTGTACACCCTCCTCCCAAACCTCTGCTCACTACAAGCTCCATCATGTAGCAGGTAAGATATGAATTCCCAAGAAATCCTTCCCTTATTTTTACATCGACGAATCAGTTTCGTGCAGCGCTGTAGAATTATCTTGCCTGCAGAGAGGGACCGCTCTTCTTCCGACACCTCAGCTTTAGAAACGACCAGCCAGGGAGGACCTGGTTGGAGTTTGTGAGAGTGGCCAAAAAGGAGTTAAACACGCAGAGGGTTGCTTTCTCCTGCCTAGAGAGGCCCAGAAGCGCTGGAGAAAGGGGAGCTGTAAATAGTGGAGGGCACCTTCCTTCCTTCCTTCCTTCCTTCCTTGCGGCGGAGAGTCGAGAAAGCAGCTCGTGGATCTCCTGTTCTTGGCGCAATTGCCGAGTTGGCAGGAAGGAGCAGGTGAGTTCCGTTGGCAACGGAGGGAGGTTTGGATGCAGGAGAAGGAGGAGGAGGAGTCTCTGGGGCTGGAAAACGAAGAGAGACACCCCCAAAGCTCTGGGCAGCGTCGCCCTCTTTTTCCCCGGGGGGGGGGGCAATGTTCCCTCTAAGCTGTGGAGTCTTGTGAGCAAAAATTCTACTTTGTGAGCCGCTGGCATTAAAGTTGTGAGCGGGCGATTTGGCCGCGGCAGAAATCAGTTTGCTCCGGAGCCATCCCTTCCTGAGCTGAGACAAAAGTGTGTGAGCCGCAGGCTAAAAAACTGTGAGCTGGCTCACACCAACTCAGCTTAGAGGGAACACTGCTGGGGGGGGGTAACCAATGTTAGGGCTGCAGCCCTTTAGATTGTGCAGAGGAGCTCGCATGATGAGTACATATGTAAATGAATACACACAGCTGCCTTATACTGAATCAGATCCTGGGTCCATCAAAGCCAGTATTGTCAGACTGGCATCTCCAGCGGAGCTCTTTCACATCACCTGCTACCCGATCCTTTCAGATGGAGATGCCGGGGATTGAACCTGGGACCTTCTCCATACCAAGCAGATGCTCAACCGCTCTGAGCCACAACTTCTTCCTGCTCCTAGGGTTGCCAATCTCCAGGTGGACCCAGGGGACCTCCTAGTGTTACAGTTGATCAGGTAACTATAGGGTTGCTGGCTCTGGGTTGGAAAATACCTGGAGATTTTGGGGGTGGAGCCAGGGGATGGCAGGGTTTGGGGAGGGGAGGGGCCTCAGCAAGGTATAATGCCATAGAGTCCACCCTCCACAGCATCCATTTTCTCCAGGGGAACTGATCTCTGTAGTCTGGAGATGAGCTGTAATACTGGGGGATCTCCAGGTCCCACCTGGAGGCTGGCTGGCATCCCTGTTCCCAACCTGGATTTGGCTACCCTGTGTAGGGGAACACACCTCAAATACCCTCTTTCCATATACACAGAAAGCCAGCTAAATAGCCTTCTCCCAGGTATGCTAGCTTTCCAAGTGCAAGGGACGAGTGTTCTGTTAGGTGAGCCCTAATCACACTAGGAGAAGCGCTCTGTGACATTTTCGCCTGCCCAAGCACTTATCAGCTGTGAAACAGCACAATCTGAAATGTTGTTCCTGTTTAAAATATTAAAATCCACTCCCAAGAGGTGCTTCTTGACCCTCCAGTGGTATTTTAGCTTTGTTTATGTACAGTCATTCCCCGTTTCAAACACTGTATTCCGAATGCAGCCGGTGTGGTGTAGTGATTTGACTCTGATTGGGTGCCCTGGCTTCAGAACCCTGTTCAGCCATAAAGCTGACCTTGAACTAGTCACACTTCTCTCAGCCTAATTTACTGCACAGGGTTGTTATGAGGATAAAAGAGAGAGATGGGAGAGCCTGCATATTCCACCAGGAATTCCTTGGAGGAAATGTGGGGGGTATAAGACAGATAAACAGAAACAACTGCCGTATGGTCCCAGGAGCTTACAACTGGAATTTTGTCAGGGTGGTGGGAGGAGAGGCACAAATAGAAGAAGAGATTGGATTTATACCCCGCCCTTCACTACCCAAAGGTGTCTCAGAGCGGCTTACAAACTCCTTTTCCTTCCCCTCCTCACAACAGACACCCTGTGAGGTAGGTGGGGCTGAGAGAGCTCTTGACAGAAACTGCTCTTTTTCAAGGACAGCTCTTATCAGAACTGCGGCTTGCCCAAGGTCATCCAGCAGGTGCAAGTGGAGGAGTGAGGAATCAAACCCAGTTCTCCCAGATTAGAGTCCGCGCACTTAACCACTACACCAAACAGATAACGTGCCATTGCCTTTTTAAAAGTTTCAGAGACAGTAGTTTTTGAGGGAAAATTCCTAGTCCTTCCATTTTTGAAAAATTTTCAGAATCAGTTTATCTTCATAAATGACAGTCAGTGAAGATACTGGTCACAGCATCAGACTAGGATTTGAAAAGAGCCAGAGTCCAGTAGCACCTTAAAGATGAACAAAATTTGCGGCAGGGTAGGGACTTTCGTCACTGCTCACTTCTTTAGATAATTGATATCAGGGAATGAATGGACAAATACATAAATAAATATAGCAATGGGGCAGGCTGTTGTTTCAGAGTTGCATTCCCCCCAAACCCCCCCCCCTAAACTTTGGGTTTTAGCGCTTTTATTTATTTATTTTCACTGAGCAACGCCAACTTCCTTTCCCAGTTTAGGAACAGCAAACCAGGAACAGAAATGGAGGTGGGGGATACATCTGGACCGAATGGAGCAGGACTGTCCTTTCGGGTCACCCCCTTTGAAGCGCCCCCACCACGCGTTAAGGAGGAGCTGGAGGAAAGCCTCCAACAGTGCTGGGAAGCCCAGTGGCAGGAATTCCTGAGGACGATGCAGCCCCCTCAGTCAGGATGGAGAAAGCTGGGGCTGCCCGAGCCCCACCCTGGAGACGAGGATGTGAAAGACTCTCATGCAGTCTCCATGGAAACGGCTGAGGGTGTCCAGTGGCCTGTAGGGAAGCGTGACTCTCCAACCCTGCCAGGCTTTGGTGGAGGAGACCTCGAGGCCTTCCACAGCCTGGATCCCCCTGTGAAAGTGAAGGAGGAGACTGAGGAAGAGGGGGACCCCATCAGCTCAGAGACACGGCGTCAGCGCTTCAGGCAGTTCCACTATCGGGAGGCCAAGGATCCTCAGGAGGTCTTCAAGCAGCTCTGGGCGCTTTGCCGTCAGTGGCTGAAGCCTGAGAGGCACACCAAAGAGCAGATCCTGGAGCTGGTGACCCTGGACCAGTTTCTGACGATCCTCCCCCAAGAAATGCAGACCTGGGTCAGGGAACGTGGACCAGAGACCTGTGCTGAGGCTGTGACTCTGGCAGAAGATTTCTTCCATGGATCGCAAGAGCCCGAGAGACTTGAACAAAAGGTACTGGCGTTTGGATAACTCTGAAGGCAAAGCTGGCTCTAGGCCTTTGTGAATTAGGATCTTGTGTGCCCTTCCCCGTTTGCTCACGAGAAGAGCCTCGATGGATGAGGTCCATCTAGTAGTCCACCTAGTCCAGCATCTTATCTCACACAGTGGCCAACCAGTTGCCTCGGAGGGCCAAGTAAACAAGGCATAGAGGCCAAGGCCTTCCCTGATGCTGTGTCCCAGCACTGGGATCCAGATGTTTACTGCCTTTGTATATGGAGGTTCTCTTCAGTCACCATGGCTAGTAGCCTCTGATAGACCTCTCCTCCATGATCCTGTCTAACTCACTTTTAAAGCCCTCTGTGGCTGTGGGCATCACTACATCCACTGGTAGAGCCAGTTTGGTGTAGTGGTTAAGTGTGCGGACTCTAATCTGGGAGAACCGGGTTTGATTCCCCACTCCTCCACTTGCACCTGCTGATGTGACCTTGGGTCAGTCACAAGCTCTGGCACAGCTGTCCCTGAAAAAGAGCAGTTTGTGTCAGAGTTCTCTCAGCCCCACCCACCTCAAAGGGTGTCTGTTGCGGGGGGGGGGGGAAAGGAGTCTGTAAGCCGCTCTGAGACTCCGAGTGAAGGGCGGGGTATAAATCCAATCTCCTCCTCCTCCTCCTCCTTCTTCCCACAGTTTAAATACTTTTCCTCTTTTCTGTTCTGCATCTATTGCTCAGCAGCTTCATTGGGTGTCCCCAAGTTCTAGTATTATGGGAAAGAGAGAAAATTCTCCCTCTGTCCACTTTCTCCATCCCTCGCCGCATTTTATAAGCCTCAGTGATGTCAACTTTTTTCTAAACTGAAAAGCCTCCGACTTGCAAGCCTTTCCTCTCAGGAAAGGGGCTCCAACCCCCTAATCTCCTTGGGTTTGCCCTCCTTTGTGCTTTTCCCAACTCTGCAATACCCTTTTTGAGGTACAGTGACCAGAACTGCGTACGGTATCCCAAATGAGACTGTGCCATAAGGGAATGGCACTGTCGGCTGTTTCAGTGTCAATCCCTTTCCTCATCATTCCTAGCATGCAATTTTCTTTCTCGCTGCTGCCACATGCAGAGTTGACGTTTGTTCCCGACTGTGGACAAGAGATATTATGTTCCTGAAACTGAGTTAGTGGTCGCCAAAGTGTAATACAAGATGCATTTGTAAAGGTTATTCTTTTTTTTTACATAGGTGGTCTGTCTTCCTGGCTTGTCTATGATGTCTGAGAGAATGCATCTCGTTTCAGATGCCAGGGCTGTTGGAGGAAGTGTTGGCTACTTCCCCCAAGTCAGAACAGGATTCCTCAGGCGTTGTTGAGATCCAGCTCAGTACAGAGACGAAGCAGGAGGAAGAGGAGGAGGGACAGGAAGCCTCTCTTGTAGGTAAAGATTCTTGTAGCTTTGTTAGCTTCACCCCAGTCTCCTTCACTCCCTTACAATCAGTGCTTTGCAGTGTCCTGGGTTCAACCCCCAGCTTCTCCAGTTTAAAAAGGATTTGATGGAATGATAGCTGGAAAGGACTTTCTCTGCCTGAGGGGCAAACGACACATTATACTTCCCTTGTATCCACCTTGGATTCTGACCGTTGGATGTGCACTGCGAGTTCCAAGGTCACAACTCAGTTCCCAGGTGAAGGACACGGGCCACCCTTAGTACACGTTATGTTTGTCCAGCAGGGATGCAAATAGTGTTGCTGGCACTGCCTTGGCAAATGCTGAGAGATTTTGAGGGTGGAGTTTGGGGAGAATGTAGTGTTACTTCCAGGCCACTCCCAGGAACAGCATGAGGTGCGGGGGGGGGGGGGGTTTGAGGGGGGGGGGGGGGGGGAACTGGCCAAAATCCCCTCACTTCCATGAGATCCAGCCGTAAGAAGGTGCCTTCCTGCATCAGACCCAAGGTGTGTCTTGTTCAGCCTCTTGGTTTCCACAGTGGCCAACCAAAAGTTGAGACACAAAAGCTTTCCCTGTTGTCCTTATTGGGATAGTTGGTTAATACAGCAGAGTTTTGCCCAGTCGCAGAAGCGTGATGCTGAGTGCAGTAAATAAGTCTCCCAAGAAGTATATTGCAAAAAAGGGTAAACTTATATTTATTCAAGTAGATCCTGTTCACATTCAGGTTGCAGTCGAAAGGAGAGAGAGAGAAGCCTAACCTAGAGAGTACTTTCCCTATCACAAATGGCCAGCTTGTCCAGCATTACGTGTGTGTGAGAATGAGGGCATTGTCTCCACAGGAGAGATCTGCAGAGACATGTGTCTCCGTGGAAGGCCATGTGGAGAGAGTGAGAGGAGAAAGGGAGAGAGAGAGAGAGAGAGAGGTGCCCAAGTTAAGAGAGAGGCATCCCAATCCAAGGAGATAACACATATACACTCTTAAGAGTGATATAGCGCCCTCCAATGTCCAGAGATGCCGATTCACTCACTCCAACAGTTCCCACCCCAGTTAACTGGTATTCAGAGGTACACTGTAGCATCAGGAATAACAGCCATTGATTACCTGTGTCCAACCCTCTATTTACAGCCAAGGTTCAACAGCCTTTTATAACCGAAGAGCCACTCTGTTGAAATTCAGAGCAAGAGATCTAACAAAGAAAGCCCATTTGCATAGCTGGAAATACACATTCTAACATGTGGGATTGTTCATCAAGTTGTCAGTTATCAGGAAAGTTTCTGCTGCACAGACACAGGCTGTTGTGAGTCTTTTATTAGGATGTGGCACAGTAACAGGTCTCGCAGTAACTAATAAACACTGGAGCACCCTACACAATTGTTTCAGTTCTACGGCATACGCCTGTGCATGATTCAGTCATGTATTACTGGCACCCGTTTGCCTCTGTCCTTTCCCTTTCTATAGAGTGTCTGAGAAACCGCATACAAATCTTTGCCTGCCATTCATTTCACATATGGGTTATTTGAGTGTCATATCTACCTTTCTAATAGAGGGAAGACAGCACGGTGTAGTGGTAAAGAGTGGCTGACTCTAATCTGGAGAATGGGGTTTGATTCCCCACTCCTTCTCCGCATGAAGCCTGCTGGGTGACCTTGGGCCAGTCACAGTTCTCTCACAACTTTCTCAGCCCCACCTTCCTCACAAGGTGCCTGTTGTGGGGAGAGGAAGGGAAGGTGCTTGTAAACTGCTTTGAGACTCCTTAGGCAGAGAAAAGTGGGATACAAAAGCCAGCTCTTCTTCTTCTCCTTTTTCTTCTTCTCCTTTTTCTTCTCCTCCTCCTCCTTATAGACTTTAAAGATTCCATTCTTTAAAAAAAAGCCTTATTAGGTTCCATACTGAGCCACAGTCAGCCTGAGGGCCAGTAGGTTGCAAACACGTGTTCTAAACCCTCTAAGCCAGTGACTGGGCACTGCAGAGTCCAGCAGTGAATCCCACAAGTTAATTTTGCATTGTGTGGACATGTACTTAATTCACAGCAAAATATTCTGTCTGTTGCAGAAGATGATGGCCAAGTATGGGACGAGACATTTCAGCTGGGGAGGACTGAGCAAGTGAATGTCAGTGGAACGTCTCTGGGAAGAGCCAGAGGACCCTCTTTCGAGGGTCCTGAATTGGAAGAGAAGCATGGAAGTCCACAGGGACCAGAAAGTAATCGGAAAAGACATCTGGGGGACAGAGCAAAGGAAGCTTTCCAGGAAAGTGACTTCCCAGAGGGAATCTGCAGCCATCGGGAAGAACAGATGGGCAGACAAAGCCTCTTTCACAATTTTGAGCTTCTTGAGAATCGGGAAACCTGCTTGGGGGAAAAGCCATATAAATGCTCGTACAGCACTGAAAATTCCCATGATCACTCGTGCCTGGGAATACAAGCGATAGCAGACACTGAGGAGAAACCACGGAAATGCTTACAGTACAGCAAAAGCTTCCATCAGAAAACCAACCTTGGTAAACCCAAGAGAATCCCCACAGGGGAGAAACCGTACATATGTTTGGAGTGCGGGAAACGATTCCGTGCAAGTTCTCAGCTTGGAAGCCACTGGAAAATTCACACGGGTGAGAGACTGCACAAATGCTTGCAGTGCGGGAACAGCTTTGGGAGCAATTCGAAGCTGACGGAGCACAAGAGGGTTCACACAGGAGAGAAGCCGTTTCAGTGCCTACGGTGCGGGAAACGGTTCTCACAGAGATCCATCCTTCTGAGACACGAGAGAATCCACACGGGCGAGAAGCCCCACAAATGCTCCATCTGTGACAAAAGCTTTGCTCAGAAGTCCAACCTCATTCAGCATGAGAGAACCCACACAGGAGAGAAGCCGTACGAATGCTCGGAGTGTGGGAAAAACTTCCATACTAGCTCTCGGCTCTCAAGTCACCAAAAAATACACACCGGCAAGATTCTGTATGAATGTTTGCAGTGTGGGAATAGCTTCAGCAGCAGCTCAAAGCTTACAGAACACAAAAGGACTCACACGGGAGAGAAGCCGTTCCAGTGCTTACAGTGCGGGGCGTGTTTTTCTCAGCGCTACGCCCTTCTGAGGCACGAGAAAATCCACACGGGTGAGAAGCCGCATAAATGCTCAGACTGTGGCAAAAGCTTCAGTAGGAAATCAAACCTTATCACCCACATGGGAACCCACACGGGAGAGAAACCCTACGAATGCCTGGACTGTGGAAAGAACTTCAGCCTGAAACGAAACCTGATTCGGCACAAAAGGACTCATACGGGAGAGAAACCCTATATATGTTCACAGTGCGGGAAGGGGTTCTCTCATCACTCTGCACTCCTGAGGCATGAGAAGATACACACAGGGGAGAAGCCGTATGAATGCTCATTCTGTGGGAAAAGGTTTGGTCGGAAAGAAGACCTAATCACTCATGAAAGGACCCACACAGGAGAGAGGCCGTATGAATGTGTGGATTGCGGGCAAAGGTTCAGTCAGAGAACGCCTCTTGTTGTACATAGGAGGGTCCACACCAGGGAGAAACCGTATGAATGTTCACAATGTAGGAGGCGGTTTTCGCATCATTTGTCCCTTTTGAATCATGAGAAAATCCATATGGCAGAAAAAGACGCATAAATGCTTGAACTTGCTTCCATACAGCAATGTTCTCTGTGTAGCTCTTGCTGCAGCAAATGCCTTCACAAGGCCAACAGAGCATCCACGAAGCAGTTTATCCTTCACTGTCCTTGCCTTAACTTCTTGCAGCTGAAGGACTTTGAAAAAATCAGGAATCGTTAGGTTGCTATAGTGTTATAACGATCTATTGTCATAAGTTATTCCCAACTTTCATTAAAACCTTTTTTATTGCTGAGTTGTAAGGGGGAATGTGCAGCCTGATTTGTCTTCATGTGTGAACCAGAACACTGTGAGGCTGAGGCAAGGAAAACGGCACTAATGTGGGGTAAGGCTTTTGCAAATGCATGCTTTCGTATCCACACAGTGTACAAAGGAGCTTTTGACTGTGATCTTACAATTAAAATCATATTATACCAGGTTTGGGAAAGACTGCATCCAAGCAGAGAGAAATTTGGAAAATGAATGAATAGGAAAGACATTGTGTGGATGCTCCAACCCCCCCCCTTCAGTTTGGATGTCAAATTAGAGTAAAATCTCCATGCAGAAGCAAGCTTTCCCCAACTGGGTACTGAAACTAGCTATTCTCTGCCAGCCCATGAGGTCTTTTCTTTTTTAGAAAACCATATTCCAGGCATTGGTATTTCTTCCGCATCAGCTATGAGGGAATGGGCCTGCTCTGGCCTGCAGGCCCTGTTCCACTCTGCCCTCCAAGGTTTTCCCCACACCTGGAGAGGCTTTTCCCTCTCTCTGGTAACCTGCCGCCACCACCTGACCTTTGTAGGAATTGCCCACTGGAAGGGTCAGGACTCCCAGCTGCCCTTCCAAGTTCTGAGGCCTTTGTATCTTCTGCTGCCCAGCACCTGGTCACCATGGAGACAGCTTTCTGCCTTGTGCGCCCTTGGAGGAATAGCCACTTGCCGACTGACTGCCTTCCCTGGAGCTCCTTTTTAAACTGGCATGTACGAGATGGGGGAGGTCTATGTGGTATAGAGAACCACTACCAGGATCAAACGTTATAAAGTATTTATTAAATAGAAAATGTTTACAAGCATACTCTTAGCACAGCACCAGATTGAGCAAGGGATTCAAAAGAAAAGGGTAAAACACAGTTCCTCTATCCCTTCCTCTATACATACCCTATTTGTTGTTAAATATAGGACAGGCTCCTTCGCTTAAAATGTTACAGATCTCTACAGAGTAGCTATCATTTTGCAGCTTCCTTCAGCTGTCCAAGCCAGCACATGGCAATGGCAATGGCCACCTCCTCCAGACCACAGTTAAGGGTTCTGCCTGCTTTGATGGAATCAGCACAAAAGAGACCTTCCTCCTTGCTCCCAGGATGTTTATCTTCTGTCTTTCCCCTCCCACTGACCCAGTCAGACCAGGTCAAAGAAGCTTTTCCTGAAGTTTCTAGCCTTAATTCCTACAAATCTCTGTTCCCTGCTTGGCGGGTGGGGGGGGAGAAACTGGACCATCCTATTGTCTTTAGCTGGACCTATTAGCATTTCTTAAGAGTTAGCTGAGGTGAGGCTGAAAAGCCATTGAGCTGACTTCCTCCTTTCTGCCCGTTCTCTGCCCAGAAAGAAAAACTGGTAATGACGTTTAGTGTCCTAAATGTAGACCTACATTATATTAGGGTTAGGTTACTTGTTGGGCTACAGGGTCTAATTGATTATCTGGCAAGTCCATTTATTTATTTTTTACACTTATATCCCACCCTCCCAGTGGGCTCAGGGCGGCTAACAGAGGCCAGATCATTAGTCTAGCCATAAGTAAAAACATATAAAAATATAATAAAGCATCAAAACTAAGACTAAGGTGCTCTATTCAGTTACTAGTGTCCTAGATCCAAGATGGTATCCCCACGACTCGAGCTGGTATTCTCAGCGTACATATCCAGTGGCGATGGCATTTCTGATGTAATTCCAAGTTCTTCCTGGGGCCCTGTCAATGCATCCATTCAGATGTCTTGACGGTGGTGGTATAGTAGGGCGGTGGCTCCTACTCAAAAGCCTGGCGGAAGAGCTCCGTTTTGCAGGCCCTGCGGAACTGCTCAAGGTCCCGCAGGGCCCGGATCTCCCCCGGGAGATCATTCCACCAGGTAGGAGCCACCACCGAAAAAGCCCTAGCCCTGGTCCCGGCCAGTTTGACATCCTTGGGGCCCGGTATAACCAATAGATTTTGGGCCCCCAACCGAAGAGCTCTTGGGGGAACATGTGAGGTAAGGTGGTCCCTCAGGTATGCTGGACCCTGACCATAAAGGGCATCGAAAAATGTTTTGAGTGGCTACAGCGATCGTAGAGTATTGCGCTGACTCGGCGATGTCACTTCTGGTGCATCCTGGAAGTGACATCATCACAGCATTGATGTGATGCCCATTCCCCACCCCACCCCCACCAAATTGTGCTTCCAGTGTTCTACGGGGACAACAGTGAAAGTGGCAGGGCCCGGGAAGGGAGGTCTCCCACTGGCCACCCTACAGACAGGAAGAGGCATTCTTGCTTGTGTGTGAGGAAAGAGATATCCCCTCCCATTTGAGACAAATGCCCCTTCTCAAATGCATGCACACCTCTTGCATCCTCCCCCCCAAACAAAGCATGTTTCCGTTTTGTATGCAGATGTAACTGATCAGTTGACTAAATTACATGTGTCGAGAGAAAGTGCCTTCTCTATAGTGATCAACCTGACAGTTCAAGCGTCACCGTTTGCTCTGTTGTAAAATCCCAGGGCAATAGTCCTCTTCCGGTTTGTACTATCTGAGCAGGAAGAACAACATTTGCTCAAGCCAAAAGGGGTCTCGCCTGCATATCAAAGTGAACCGCTTAATTACTCTCAGTTGGGAAAGGAGAAATTTGTCCTATTTGGGCAAACTTATTGAGAGGGCGGTGGCGATACAGCTACAGGGTTTTCTGGATGACGCTTCCGTCCTTGATCCCTTCCAGTCCGGCTTTCGCCCGGGTCATGGGACGGAGACGGTTCTGGTTGCTCTGACTGACGACCTCCGTAGGCATCTGGATCGAGGCGGTGTGGCAGCACTGGTGTTGTTAGATCTGTCGGCCGCATCCGACACGGTTGACCACCAGTTCCTAACCCACCGCCTCGCCGACGTGGGGATTCAGGGGCTCGCCCTTCAATGGTTTGCCTCTTTCCTCCAAGGTTGGGGACAAAGGGTGGCAATAGGGGATCAGCGGTCCCAGAGGTGGCCTCCTGAATGTGGGGTGCCTCAGGGGGTGGTGCTGTCCCCTATGTTGTTTAATATCTATATGCGCCCCCTAGCCCAGGTTGCCCGGAGTTGTGGGCTTGGGTGTCATCAATATGCAGATGTCACCCAGCTCTATCTGATGTTGGGCGGCCGGTCGGACTCCACCCCGGATGACCTTCATTGGGCGTTACAGGCCGTGGCTGGTTGGCTCAGACTGAGTCGGCTGAAACTAAACCCAGCAAAGACAGAGGTCCTGGGCCTGAGTTGGATCAGTTTGGGGTTGGGGCTCCCTCTCCCGACCTTCGACAGGGCGCCTTTGGTGCCAGCGTCGGAGTTTAGGAGTTTGGGTGTGCTCCTGGACTCCTCCTTAACAATGGAGGTCCAGGCGGCGGCCACTGCCAAGTCGGCCTTTTACCATCTTCGGCTGGTGCGGCAGTTGGTTCCTTTCCTCGACCGAGATGACCTGGCCACAGTGATCCATGCGACGGTCACCTCGAGGCTAGACTACTGTAACACTCTCTACATGGGGCTGCCTTTGTTGCAAATTCGTAAGCTGCAGCTAGTGCAGAATGCTGCGGCCAGGCTGTTGATGGGTCTCACTAGACGGGATCACATCCGGCCTGTGCTGAAAGCGCTGCAATGGCTGCCAATGGCGTACCGGATTCGCTTCAAAGTGCTGGTCTTAATCTTTAAAGCCCTATATGGTCAGGGTCCGGCTTACCTTAGGGACCGCCTCTCCACGCATGTTCCCCCAAGGGCACTACGGTCGGGGAACCAAAATCTGGATATTCCAGGCCCCAGAAACATCAAATTTGTGGTTACCAGGGCTAGGGCGTTTTCGGTGGCGGCTCTTACCTGGTGGAATGAGCCCCCAGAAGAGATCCAGGCCCTGCAGGACTTGGTGCAGTTCCGCAGGGCCTGTAAAACGGAGCTCTTTTGCCAGGCCTTTGAGTAGGAGCCGCCGCCACCATCTTTACGCCACCATTATGACCATCATTCCATCTACGCCCCCCCTCTTTATTCCTGCAAATAGACCATCTTCAGAGCGGGTACTATTGGGGGGCGCGAGATGTTCCTGGCAGAGGACAACGCTGTAGGGATGTATATTGTCGCTGTTATATATTGTTATTACTGCTGTTTGTTGTTTCTAGTGTAAATAATTATAGAACCCCATCTTGAATTTTATAGCTAAGTATTTCTAGTAAAGGTAAAGGTTCCCTTGCTCGAAAGCCAGTCAAATCCGACTCTAGGGTTGCGGTGCTCATCTCCGTTTCAAAGCCGAAGAGCCAGCGCTGTCCGAAGACGTTTCCGTGGTCATGTGGCCGGCCTGACCAAACACCAAGGCGCACGGAACGCTGTTACCTTCCCACCGAAGTGGTCCCTATTTATCTACTTGCAATTTCTTGCTTTCGAACTGCTAGGTTGGCAGGAGCTGGAACTAGAGATGGGAGCTCACTCCGTCATGCGGCACACTCGGGTCTCGAACTGCTGAACTACCGACCTTCCACAGCCTGCAGTTCAGCGTCTTTCTGGAGCACCGTAAATACATTTTTAACGAACTGTATTTATTGTATTTTATATTTACTGTATTGTTTTAATGTTTTAACTTGGGCACTCATGCCCCTTGTGAGCCACCCTGAGCCGTCGGGGAGGGCGGGATACAAATCCAAAGATAGATAAATAAATAAATAAATAATCTTATTCCAGAAGCATTGAGACACATGGGTGGGGGATCATATTAGTGATTGGCTCAAGCTGGTCAGGGGGGCAGTTGTCCAGTTGCCCTATAAAATGACACCAGTCAAAGGAATTGGGGTAGGAGGTTTATGCACACACGCAGGATGGCCTGTTTCCATTGGGGGGGAGGGGGGCAGGAACCTTACATTGCACCAACCTAATGCAGCTGTACCCTACATATCTTCAAGTATAGATCAAGATGGGTAGCCATATTAGTCTGTTTGCAGCAGTAGAAAAGACCAAGAGTCCAGAAGCACTTTGAAGACTAGCAAAACTTGTGGCAGGGTAGGAGTCACTGCTCCCCTTCTGCTGTCTGAAGGTATCTGAAGAAGTGAGCAGTGATTCACAAAATCTCATCCCCTGCCACAAATCGTGTTAGTCTTTAAGGTGTTTCTGGACTCTTGCTCTTTTCTATAGCCTCCAGGTATGTGAGTGTATGTGGAATGCTAGATTTGTTATTTTAGAGCACCAACTTGCTTTGCTTGCTTATAAGACTGAACTGCTTTCTGATCTCTCCAAATAAAATTTGTTGCTTTGACTGGCGTGTTCTACTGTGTGTGCAAAGGTCTAAACCCAGACTTGGTACATGATCAAAGAAAGGGATTTATCCCAGGGTTACAGGGAAGGAACAGGGGGATCAAATCACCTCAAACAAGGCCAGGGGGTGTCAAGAGAACCCCGGGTCTTGTCACAGCATAGTATAATAATTCGTGAAGGGGGTGAGTGGTTCTATTCAGTTATGAATTCTGCTCTTGGTTCTCTCTCCCCTAAAGAGCCTCCAAGGCTTTTGCCCAAAATACAAAATGTAAACCACTTTCTGTCACTCACGTGAAGAAGAGTCTTGAAGCTTTTCCAGTTACTATTTTGCTTGGAACTCAGCAGGCCCACGTTTATGAAACTTGTGCTGCTGCCTTTTTTTCAAGGTGTGGAAGAGTTGGCTTGATTTCTGCTGAGATCAAAAAGCTGTCTAGGCCATGTACTTCTGAAGCTGCTGCTACGAGTGAACACCGCCTTGAAGTGTGTGCCGCCTCTAGCTTAGCGCTGTGTCCATTCCAGCAATTATACTATGGTAATTATTTTCTTGTTTACCAGCTCTGAGTCTCTGCATTTTCCCTGTATGTAATAAATCTTTTTGGGGGTTCAGACCAGAGGTCATTTCGCGGGGGAACGCAGTTCCACCGGGTGAGGTGCAGGGGGCGGGGCACATGATGAAGCCCCGCCCCCTGCTTCCGGTCGCCCCGCTTCCAGCCCTCATTCAGCCAGGAGGAGGCAGGAGAAGAGGGAGGGTAAGTTGCTTCCTCCCTGCCTCTCCCCACCCCTGCCTGCCTGGGGCCAGGGAGGGCCTTGGCGGGGCTTCCTTGCACTCCCGCTGGCCTTGCAGGTCCACCGCCGGGCCCCTGATGTCAGGGGGTGTGGCATATGCTAATGAGTTATGCTAATGAGTTCCCCTAGCTCTTTTTCTACGAAATGACCCCTGGTTCAGACATCCTGCGTTTGTCTCGAGGAATTCAAAATTTCTGGCTCCAGTTTCTAGGAGTCCTGTGTAGCTCATAAATAACACAAGAACATAAGAGAAGCCATCTTAGATCAGGCCATTGGCCCATCCAGTCCAACACTCTGTCACACAGTGGCCAGTAACCAGGTGTCATCAGAAGGTCCACCAGCAGGGGCAGTGATACTAGATCATTTCACTGTAATAGTTTAGTGGGATGAAGCTGGAAGGACCCCACCATCGTATCAGGATTGGGTCATTATGGGTTAGCTCTCATGTTTCCTAAGCAACCTTAATTATAAAGAAGTGTTGGCCGTGAAACCATTGAAAAACCACAAATGGGTTCTTTTGGTCATTTTGTACTCCATTTACCCTGTTTCCTAGGTCTAACTAGGAGTCATTTGGATAAGGACCGACCTGAACGCTGATAGTCTCACTTACCCAGGAGGGGAGGGGGAGGTCTGAGCTATCATGGCTAGTGATATGGACTGCCTGACAAGGTCTCGAGATAGCAAGAGGAAGGTTGCAGGATTAACTTGTATGGGAAATTATAGCTGTTTCTATATGAATGCTAGATGTGTCCGAAATAAAATCGGGGAGTTGGAGTGCTTGTTGTTGGAGGGAAAAATAGACATTGTGGGTATTTCAGAAACTTGGTGGGATGAGGAAAATCAGTGGGACACAGTGATTCCCGGTTATATTTTATATCGGAAGGGTTGGAGGTGGGGTGGCTCTGTATGTCAGAGAGGGTATAAAGTCCAGAAAGATTGAGAGGCTAAGAGAATTGGATTCACTTCTGGAAGTTCTGTGGGTTGAAATAGGGGGGCCAAAAGGAAACTTAACACTGGGAGTTTGTTATCGCCCACCAGATCAAAAGATAGAGGAGGATTATAAAATGAGGAATGAATTAAAGATAGCAGCTAGACAAAAAAACTGTGTTGTAATAGGTGATTTTAACTACCCACACATTGTTTGGGTCAATATGTGTTCTAGTCGAGGAAAAGAGATTGAGTTTCTAGACACTCTAAATGACTGTGCTATGGAGCAGTTGGTCACGGAACCTACCAGGGGAGAGGCAATAATTGATTTGGTCCTAAGTAACACTCGAGACCTGGTGAGAGATGTAAAAGTGATTGCACTGCTTGGGAACAGTGATCATAATGTTGTTGAGTTCAACATTTGTATAAATAGGGAATTGGCCAAAAAACCTGACACAACTACTTCTAACTTTAAAAGGGGTAACTTTTCTGATATGAGGGGACATGTGGGGAGGAAACTGAAAGGAAAAGTAGAAAGGGTCAAAACCATTGGGGAAACTTGGAAACTATTTAAAACTACGATCCTAGAAGCTCCCAAAAAAATTCCGCATGTTAGGAAAGGCACAAATAGGTACAGGAAAAGGCCTGCATGGTTAACAAAGTAATGGAAGCTGTAAAAGGTAAAAAGGATTTCTTTAAGCAGTGGAAAGCTAGTCACAGTGAGGCTGATAAAACGGAACACAGGCTATGGCAAATAAAATGCAACTCTGTGGTCAGGCAGGCAAAAAAGGAATATGAGGAGCATATAGCGAAAAATGTAAAGACCAACAATAAAACTTTCTTCAAATACATTAGAAGCAGGAAACCAGCCAGGGAGGCAGTGGTGCCCTTGGATGACCAAGGGGTAAAAGGAGTACTGAAGGATGATAGGGAAATGGCTGAGAAGCTAAATGCATTTTTTGCCTCTGTCTTCACTGTGGAAGATGAGAAGTGCTTGCCCACTCCAGAACCGCTGATTTCAGGAGGGGTGTTGAAAGACCTGAGTCAGATGGGCTGGTGAACCTGTGGGGGTTTTTTTCATGATTTTTGTGGTGGATTGAGCAAGCGTTGAGGGCAGTGGCTCCAGCTCCTTGGAGAGTTTATATTACATGTATACCTTTTGGAGTCAACCTCTCTATGTGGGGAAGGGACCCTGCTTCACACACAAAAATGCTTCCAGGGCTACAGGAAAAAAAAGTTGCTGATCTAGTGTAGTGAGAAAGTGTATTTTCAGAGAGGGAAGGAAACTAATTGTGCCGGGGAGCCGGGGGTGGGGGAGATGGATTGGAGAAGTTTCTCTACAGTGCCAAGTGTACTCAAGCAGGATTACACATAGTGAGTCAGTACGGTTGACAGAACTGGACATTCACGCTGCTCTCTGCCTACCAATGAAAGGATGGCCACAAATCACATGTGGGGGGGGGGAGCACTGGGATGCTGTGCTGAAGGATAAGCTTTCTTTAGCATTAGCAAATATGACCAGTTTTGGGGTCCAAATGACCCCAACGTAAGGCTTGTGCTTCTAAAATGCTGTCTGTGTTTGGGTCAACATCTGTGAACAGTTGTTTTCTGTAATAAATGTATATAAATCAAAAATACAGTCTCACCTTAAAGATACACACTTAAAGAGCATACTCATGATCGCTGAAGCACAGATGTTGACTCCAAATTTTAATGCAATAATTCAGAGCAAGAGGTGTCAGTCATCACACTGTTAAATAAAGGAAATATTGTAAGGCTGTTAATGATTTAAGTATATTTTTAATTTCGTTAATTGGGTTTGCCTGTGTCCTTTCTGAAGTTTATGTCTCTAGTACCTGGCATTACATTTTATGGCACACATGGCTGAGCCTGACAAAGTGACATTTATGTCCAATCCAGCCCTTGCAACAAACGATTTTGACAACTCTGGGCTAAACAGTTACATGGTTTCTCTTTTTGTGGGTTCTTAGATGTTGTTGAAGAACACTGACAGAATCTCTTCTCACACTCTGAGCATTCAAAGGGCTTCTCCCCTGAGGGGTTCTTTGATGTTCTTGAAGATGGTCACTCTAACTAAATCTCTTCCCACACTAGGAGCACTCAAAAGGTTTCTGCCCTGTGTGGATTCTTAGATGTTTTCAAGATTGCTACTGTGACGGAATCTTTTTTCACACTTGGAGCATTCAAAAGATTTCTCCCTGTGTGGGTTCTTAGATGACTTCGAAGAGTGCTCCTGTGACTGAATCTCTTCCCACACTCTGAGCATCTAAAGGGCTTCTCCCCTCTATGGGCTCTTTGATGTTCTAGAAGACTGCTCCTGTGACTGAATCTCTTCCCACACTCTGAGCATTCAAAGGGCTTCTCCCCTGTATGGGTTCTTAGATGCTGTTGCAGAGTGCTACTGCAACTGAACTTCTTCCCACACTCTGAGCATTTAAAGGGCTTCTCCCCTGTGTGAGTTCGTTGATGCTGTTGAAGAGCACTACTGTTACTGAATCTCTTCCCACACTCTGAGCATTCAAAGGGCTTCTCCCCTGTGTGAGTTCTTTGATGATTTTGAAGATGGGCACTCTGAATGAATCTCTTCCCACACTCTGAGCATACAAAAGGCTTCTCCCCTGTGTGGGTTCTTAGATGATTTTGAAGACCACAACTGTGACTGAATCTCTTCCCACACTCTGAGCATAGAAAAGGTTTCTCCCCTGTGTGGCTTCTTTGATGCCGCTGAAAAACGTCACTCCGACTGAATCTCTTCCCACACTTTGAGCATTCAAAAGGCTTCTCCCCTGTGTGGATTCTTTGATGCTGTTGCAGAGTGCTACTGCAACTGAATCTCTTCCCACACTCTGAGCATTCAAAAGGCTTCTCACCTGTGTGGGTTCTTTGATGCTGTTGCAAACGGCAACTCCAACTGAATCGCTTCCCACACTCTGAGCATTCAAAAGATTTCTCCTTTTTGTGGGTTTGTAGATGCTGTTGGAAATTGCCATTGTGACTGAATCTCTTGCCACACTCTGAGCATTTATATGCCTTCATTATACTGTGCTTTGAGGAGTGTACATGACACTTTCTTCCAACAGGGAATGCCATTCCAATCTCTGAGCAGATAAATCGCTTTTCTCCTGAGTGAATCCTTTGGTGCTGAACAAGGTCTGATTTCTCTGAGTAGCTCTTGCCACAGTCTGAACACCTATAAGATTCTTCTCCAGTATGTGTTCTTTGATGTCTACGGAGCTCTCCTCTGTGAATCATGGTCTTTCCATACTCCAAGAATTGATGAGTCTTCTTTCCACTGTACATTTGTAAACAGGCAGTACATTGGGTTTGATCTGAGACATTCCTTCTGCACTCCAAGCCCTTGTCTGTTTCTGCCACCATGTGAACGACTTCTTGGAAATCCCCCCCTTGGCAAGGAATGGGTTTTCCCCTCTTCTTGACCAGGTGGCTTCCTTTCTGCCTCATAGGTCTTCCTTGATTCCTGAAGTTTCC